GGGACAGGGGGGTCAGGGGGGCACAGAGCAGTTCGGGGCTGATGGGGCTGCGTGGTGAGTGGGTGTGGGACAGCTCCAAGTGGGAGTGGTAGTTGCCCACCTCAGGGGATGCTGGCTGGGGAGTCGAGGGGTTCCCCAGCTGAGGGGTTGTCCGTCCATCTGTTGATCTGTAGGACCTGAGACAGGAGCAAGTTTGAGAGCCCGGCCATGCTCCCCCCTGCTGCCTGATCCTACCCCAGGATCCTTCTGCTCTGATGGGAACACGAGCAGGGAATGCCACAGCCCAGAGATAAAATCCACCCAGACCCATCCCTGCCCCATTTCAGTGTCTGGGTGCATCACTGGTGCTGCTCTCCTGAGGTTCTGTGTCCCACACATCTCTCACATTCCCAGTGCTGCACAAACACCATGATCAGAAGCTCCCTATGGAATCAAAACACTTCCAAGTGTTTCCCCCTCCTCACAGCAGGTGACCCCTGGCAGCAGCTCAGGGACTGAGTGCAGGGAATCAGCAATGCTGGAAATGCAGCAATTTCAGCAGCTGGGAGTGGGAGGAGCACAGTGAAACCCTGAGACATCAGATCTCAGATTTCAACCAAGAATTACAGAAGTCTGAGCTCTGACACAGAGTCCAGATAAAAACCCACAGGCTAAAGCAGAGAAACAATAACTGAGTTCCCAAATCCACATGCAACTCTCCAAGATGAAATGCAACAGCAAGTGGCCATCAAGGACTTCAGAGGTAAGCAATGGGCTAAAGAAACAGCAGAACATCCCAGTCTCCAGGAGCACTGGGAACTGCAGCTGCAGAGGAAACAGGGCAGCAGCATGAGGGGGGTTTGCCACAGGCCAGGTCTGCACCTGCAGGAACCCCCACAAGGGCAGGAACTGAAACCAAAGCAGCATTGAGGGCAGGGACAGAGCTGTGGCTCTGCCCCAGAACAAAGTGACTCCAGGCAACCAAACCCTGGTGATGGAACTGAGAAGAGCAAATCTCTTCTTGAGCAGGTTTATGGTGAGATCAACAGCTGGAAACAGTGGTGGTTTTAGACACCCACCCACTCATAAAGACACAGCAGGAAGGGAACTGAGTGCCCAGTGCCAGTGTCCCTGATCCTGCAGAACGATGGCATTGCAAGCCCTGTGCCTTCCCCTGGACTGTGGGCTGGCACAGCATCTCCCACACTTCTGGAGCAGCAGAAATGCTTGAGGAAGCACTTGGTGCAGCTGTCTGCAGCCAAACTGGGCTGTGGCTTCACCCCACCTAAGCAAGGCTGTGCCCCCTCCCACACGGGCTCCTCAACCTGGATGACACCAAACTTTTCAACACCAGCAGCAGCTTTCAGCCATTAGTATGAGTCCCAGTGAGCACCCAGTGCTGGGCATGTGGCCCTGAGGGCAGGAGGGCAGGGCTGTACCTGCTGCCCCGGCGCTGAGGGGGGACACTCGTGCTCCAGAGCCACCGCGCCCGCTCCATCTCCTCACACTTCCCGTGCCGAGCAGCGAACGCTGAATCTGACAAATCCTCAACCTGGAAAGGGAAGGGCAGAGGGCTTGGTCAGAGCTTTCTCCTGTAAAACAACCATCTCTCTATAGTTTTTCCAGAACCAGTTGCAGTGAGAATTTAAATGTTTGTCATTGAGTTGTAGAATGTCCTGAGTTGGGAGGGACCCACAGGAATCATCAGTGCAGCTCCTGGCCCTGCACAGACACCCCAACAATCCCACCCTGTGCCCCAGAGCTTGTCCAAACACTCCTGGAGCTCTGGCAGCCCTGGAAAGGAACCAACCCCAGCTGCTGGTTCCCTGCTGAGGTCCCTGCCTCTGTTCCCTCCACAGACACTGCTCATTTACCACCAGCCTCATCCCACATTACCTGGGAAATAAAATCCTTACCTCCTCGTTGTCCTCCTCAGGGTTGGTTTTCAGAGCACTGATATCAACTTCACGCCAGCTGCAACACAACCATGGGCATCACTCAGGGCACAGCTAGAACCAGCTGCACATCCCCCTCCCCTCCCAACAATGGCTTCTGGGAAAGGGAAAATTCCACCCTGCCATGAGGAGCAACACACTTAGGCTCAGTTTGAAGCACCAGACCTCCTCGGTGGTCTGGCAGCACAGCTGGAGCTCCCCAGGGGCAGAGGAAGCAGAGCAGAGGCTGCTGCATTTCCTTCTCTTTCTCCCACAGGCTCCCTCCTGCCCTGCTGAAATGGGCCAGGGAAGAGCACAGACGACCAGGAGGAAGACAGAGGGAAGTTGGGGAGAGGCAGAACTGCAAGGTTAACCCAGGCCAGGCACCTGCAGAGCTGGGAAACCACTGGGACCTTTGACTTAGCAGCAAGACAAAACCAGGACTGACTTTAAACTGAGCAGAACTGAGCTGAGCAGTTGGCTTTGATGGCCAAAGGCCCCTCACAGAAAACACTCCCTAACTTAGCCAGTCTCCAGCAATGGCATGATCAGTTTTCCAACCTTTCCCTTCTTCCCAAGAAGAAGCAAAGCACTGTGGGTTCCCTCTGGGGCTGGGGCAGTACCTGGGGGTGAGGATCTCCTTGTACTGCAGCTTCTCCACGCGGGTGGTGGCAGCCACGGACATGGGGATGACGATGTTGTTTATGTCAAAGGAGCTCTCACCCCTCCTCCTCCTCGGCTGCTGCAACAGGGAGAAAGAACCATGTGAGAAAGGGATGTGGGGTCAGGCACGTGGGAAAGTCATCACAGGAAGTCACTGATGGGAAGAGGACAGAATGACCTTGTCTGACCTATGGACACTTCAGAGCCAACATCAATTTGGATCAGACTAGAGTTCCCCTACTGCTTGCCCCAACCCAAAATCTACAGCAAGGAAACCCAAATCCCAAGGTGTGGCTGCCCAGAGCAAGGATTGACCCTGTGGTTGGGGAGCCCCCACAGACCCGCAGCTGCCTGGGCTGTTTGAACACAGGAGCTCCACCCCTGAGCCCAGAGTGTGGAGCCCAGGGCCTGGAATCCTCTTGCTGAGGGAGGGAAACCTCTTCAGCTGGCATTTCTGAATGAGCTTGTGAAAGCACAGCAGGAAAAGCAGCAAGAGAAAACCAGGGTGGGTGTGCAGAGCCAAGGAAAGGCCTCCTTGAGGTGGCAGAGCTGCTGAGATGGGCTGTCCTCTCCTCCAAAACACCAAGCACACTCAAGCTGAACCACCACCGGGTTCTTCTGACACCCTGATGTCACAGCTGGTGATGGAACAATTGAATTCTGCAGTGAAGGAACCCAGTGGGGACCCAGATGCGCCCATGGCAACAAGCCTGGAGCAGGGGCCTCAATGAGTCCTGCTCTGCTCTCCCTGGGTCACACCCAGCTCAGGCTTTGGCCCCAACTACCAAATGGGGGGGGGGGCAGAAAGAAGCCAAATCCTTCACTGGACACCTGTGAGCTCAGCAGAATTCAGTCTTTCATTGAAGGGCTTCTGCTGACGTGGGAGGGAGGCTCTGCTCACTCACAGAGCTCATGAAGGTCCCACACTGTGCCACCCTCAAGCACTGTGGCAGTGTCAGTGTGTCTCAGAAGATGGTCAGAGCTCAGAGACTGCTGGAGATGGTGCAGAGGTGGAAGATCCCCAGCACCACTGCTGTGCCCTGGCCCTGTGACCCCAATCCCGTTCACAGCCTGGTGACACTGAGGGGAACATTCACCAGCAGCTGTTGAGCTGATGGTGAACCTGGAATTGCAGCACAGCCAACACCCCCAACACCCACCCAGCAACCCCAGCAGCAGCTGAACCAAAGGGTCCAGCGTGGCAAGAGGAACACTGAGCACTCCCAGCCCAAAATCTGTGTACCAGCTGAGCCCAGAAGCCCTGGGAAGGCAGCAGATACTCACAGCAGTGCCAGAGGTGCCCTGGGAAGCAGAGCTGGCTGGAGCAGAGCCCTCGGAGGAGGTGGAGAGCTGCCGAGCTATGGGGCTGTGAGGGGTGGGGGTCACAGCTGCTGACAGGTAGCTCGGGCCACCGACGTCCGTGTGGTGCTTCAACACTGCACAGGGAGGGGGAGAAAACGAACAACAACGTTAGCAAAACAACCCAGCCCACCCGAGGGGTGGCAGTGGAAAGGACCATGTGCACTGAGGAGCACTTTGCAGGAAAGAGAAGCACCTTCTGAGGGGCTGCCCTGGGGAAGAAGCAGGTTAGAGCACACGAGGCGTTGCTGTGGTGGCGGCTCGGCCCGAAGCAGTGCGTGCCCCCTTTCTGTGGGGCAGAGAGGCTGGGGATGCAGCAAAGCCCAAGCTCCCCCCGAGACGCCTGCCCCTGGGGGCCTACCTTCACTCCTCTCAGATGAGCAGTCTCGCAATCGCTTTTTGTCAAAGGCAGGAGGCTGGGCAGAGCGCTCTGGCGCTCTCTCGGCCTTGGACACGGCCGAAAAATCGTCTAAAGGCGGCCTGTGTGCCTTGTCTGCTTGGGCTTTTTGATGGGAGCGCTCTGAGGAGGGGAACAGAGAAAGAGCTATGAAATGCCTGCTTTCACCTCTCTTTCTGCTGGCACAGGAGACTGGGGCACAGTTTGCCCACACCACGGGGGTGGCTGGGGAGGTGTGCTCAGACCTGTGGCACTGCTGTGGGCATGGCTGACACCGAGCACGGGGAGGTCCCTACAAACCTGAGCTGCACCTGCACACAGCTCACCTGCGGCCCTGCCATAGCCCTGCCTCACCCCTGGGAGCGGGACTGAAGGGCATCCTCCTCCTCCTCCTCCTCCTCCTCCTCGTGGGGCAGGGGCAGCACTTACTGGCCGCGGTGAAGAAGGAGTTGACCAGCTTGTGGCGGTCCTTGCGCGCGGGGTCAGCCAGGCTGGGGGGCACGGGGGCTCTGTGCTTCAGCGACAGCTTCTTGGGAGCTTTAGTTTTCTCGTAGGGCTTGTTCTGCCACTGGGATTTCAACATGCTCTGGAAGTGCAGGCTCGTCGGCACATCTGCAGGGGGACAGAGCGTTAATTCAAATTAATCATGCACAAAGAGCTGTGGTCCCATCAACGTCCCCCAGTGCTCCCAGTAAGGCCAGCCCCTGATGCAAGCACAGACTGTCAGGCTTCCTCACACTCTCCCCATGTTCAGGAAGGACCTGCAATAGGTCCCAACATTTCTAATCTGCAGGTCTTTGTGAAATTCCTACAGGTTTCACAGCCCAAGCATATCCTGGCAGGAGAACAAAGTTTTCTAAGTCAGAAAACTTCTCTGTGTCTTCACCTCTGTAGGTATCTCATGTGGTGCTACCTCAAAGAATCTGAGGTATCTCAGCACCAAATCTGGGCTGGAAAAGAGAAATTCAGCCTAAATCCTCAATTTCAAGTCAAGCCAGCAGCCAGCCAGGCACTGCAGCGTGTAAATCTGCCTGAAGTGGCACCTCAGCCATGAGAAGTTGTGTGTGACCACACCTGAGAGGCCCCAAGGGCAGGAGGAACCCCTGGCTGGTAGCTGGACCCCTGCCCAGTATTTCCCTCCCAATTTCAGGGACTGGAAAGCCCCAGCAGATCCAGGCAGGCCAAGAGGATGGAGCTGGCAGAGCACGGGCTGGAGCTGGGGGGGACTTGGCTCCCTGGAAAAAGCCAGGACAGCTCCATTCCAAGTACCCTGGTGGTTAAAGCTGTCAGCCAGCCCCTTGCTAAGGAAGGGCAGCCACAGGGTGATGGCAGTTCTCTGGCCATCACTGCTGCCTGTGGGGACGTGTCCCAAAAACCAGAGAGGGGCCAGGCCAGCCCTTCAGGGATGCTGCCATCCGCTGGAGCGGCCAGACTTGGGCAAAATGGCCTCTGCTCTGTGCTCATCTTTTGCTTTCTCCTCCCAGTTCCCATCCCACACCATCTGTGGAAGGAGGGGACAGGTTGAAGGGAGGGGGAGCAGGCCAGGACAAAACGCTGCCAGCAGGAAGGGAGTTCTCTGCTGGTTTGGCAGCAGTGCCAGCATCCCTCCTCCCCCTGCTCCTCGGGAAGCAGTGCAGGGCTCCCAGGGACCAGCAGATGGCAACCACAGTGAGCCCAGCGCTCATCCTCCCTCCAAGGTTATTACATCATCCAAAAATTCCCAGCGAGAAATCAAACCAGAAAAAAAAAAACCAACAAAAAAACCCCACACACCCTGAAAGGAAGGGGACAAAGCTCTGGTGGAGCACAAGCACAGGGGGTTCAAGGCCTCGCTGGCTGGGTCCTGCTTGCCAGGGGAATAAATGAATAAATGATCTTTTCCTCCTGCAGTGCCTGGCAGTTTTGCCCTTGGCAAAGTGCTCTGGAGATCCCGGCTGGCACCCAGAGCCGGCTCAAAGTGAAAGTCAGCACATGCTCACAGCTGTGCCCTGGGCAGCAGGAACCCTGCACACACTGCAGCACCCTGGGCTGTGCAGAGACACCTCAGAGCACACCAACAGCACCAGGCACTGCCATCTCCCCACCCGAACACATTACCTGCCTCTTCTCTAGGACAGGGATCACCCCCACCCCAAAAATCAACCCCAGCCAACTGCTTGAAGCAAATAAAGGTCACCAGTACTGGAAAAATGGGTATTCCTGCACAGGTGTTTAAGCTTTACATCAATTAGTTTTAAATCCAAAGTTTTTTAATCTTATGCAGCCAGAACTGATCATCTACCCTGTGAGGAAGCTGCAGGGAGCTCTGAAAATGGGAAGAATATGGGATAATTTGCCTGGTGCCTCTGCTGCAATAGCACCCAACAGGTTGTCTCCCCATTTCCCAGGATATTTGATTTAGCACTATAGAGGATCACAAGTGCTGTGAAATCAGAAAATAAATTCCTGCTTCAGGAGTTCATTAAGCTCCTTGAGCACTCCTGATCAGAGCTGTGTCTTTGGGAGGGGAGGGATCTAGCTAAAAATAGCCCCAATTTACTATTTTAGTCTGGTTTAAATATAGTGCTAATGAAAGAGGCCACACTAATTGCTCCCAGACACTCCCTGCATTTCCCACTGTCACAAAAAGTTTGTGAAAAGTGGAATTTAAACCCAAGCACACACATTAGCTCAGTGACTTATCCCAGACCAACCATTTGACACCTCCATGGGAAGGCAGGCCACACACCTTCCTGCCAGCATGAGAATCCCAGAATGGCTGGGGCAAGGACACCTTCCACTGTCCCAGCCTGGCCTTGGGCACTTCCAAGGATGGGGCAGCCCCAATTTCCCACCCCAAGCAGCCATGAACTCCCACCAAGGCAAGGAACCATGTGATCCAATCATTTCCCAGCTCTCCTGATAAAAACACCAGTTAAAGAAGACTCTGGAAACTACTCTTCCCTCGGGAAAAGTCCCTACACATGGAATTTGTGAATAGCCCACGGTCAGGGCTGGTTAATTATTCCTCTCTTAATGCTGATTAACCCTGAAGCTGTAACACAGGAAATTGAGTGTCCTAACAGGAACATCCCTTCTTGCTGTGCCCACCGAACCATGGAAGATCATTTTCAATTCCTCACGAGGTCAGAAGGATTTCCTGTGACGAACCAATCCACAAATCATTCTATACAGATGGACAAACTCATGGAAAGCAAATATCTCCCAAGTGGTTTAGAGCCCCAGAGGCAGTTCCCAGGAAGGACTCCTGTTGTGGTGTGTTGCAATATCCTGTTTTACCTTCTCCCTTCCCCCTCGCCCCTCGCTGAGTGTGCCCTGTCAATCAGGCTAACA